CGCCGAAGCGTCAGCCATTTCTGGCCAGCAACTTTCAGCGTCATTAAGCCGCTGCGCCACCATGTCCCCCGATGACCAACATAAATATAGCTATTTTTTTTTTCCCATACAAGTTCATGGGTGGTAGGGAAGACCTTTTTTTTAAAAAAAAAAAAAAGAGTTTTGCCCCCAAACTGGGAATGGATTGGTAGGCACTATTCCTTAGGACTATCCCAGGACAGCTATTTTTAAAAACTAGAATTCAGCCCTCAGAGTGGGTTGGACAACCACTTTAGAGCCGTATATTTTATTATTGTTCTGGCAATACCCCACTTCTCGGTTTGTGCATAGAGAGAAAAAGCAAGTTCAAAATAAGTTCAGATTCTAAATTTTTTGTACTACCATGAAAATAATCCAGCTCAATATTGGTGAAAGTTTCACAAGTGTGACAATAGCGATTATGAAAAAGAGCAACAGTTTCTGCATTTCCTGTGTTTATTACTAATTTCTGTCCCAGAAAACTAAAGGGTGACCTAAATAATTGCTGGTGAGAGTCCTGATTTTGGCCTGTTCAGAGTAGATGTGCTGGGACTTGAGTTTCTTGTATTTTCAGACACCAAGGCATTTGGTTAGCTAGCTGGGAATTTGGGAAATCAGAATTCCAGCACATCTGCAGGAAAGAAAGAAAAGAAATAGGAAAGAAATATTTATGTTCCAGAAACAATCAATTTTATTTACGGCCAAAAGGCCCAAAAGCAAAAGTTCAGGAAACAAAATTATCTTATGCTCCAGAATTACACAGGTAACTACAATAGTAATTTCTAAAGATTTGACTGTTGTGAAGACAAAAAACTCATTGAAACCTTACATCTTCCATGGGCACAGTTAGCAATCTATCGTTGAGGAAACAATCAGGCACGTTCTGGAAGCTGTAGGCGATTCCATACATACAAATGGGTAGCAAAGAAGGCATTTTGGATACTTTCCGTGTATGATAGTGCCAACTAGTTTGATCCTGTTCACGTTCTGCACCTGTGGAAGAAAATGCTTGGCATAAAATAGCCTTATGCAAATGAGTGCCTGTTGCCTGTATGAGGAATGAGTTCCACAAGATAGAGAGCCTTAAGGCTTAGTCTAACAAAGTTTGATGATCCATCTCCCTGTGATTTGATTGCAACAGCTTGAGGGCTTTGTATAGTGCGGTGGGTAAGAGAATAAGATATTTTCTGGTTCTAGTTTCTATTGCCATAAACTCTCCGGGTGGCCTTTATGCAAGATTCAATTCTCCCCTGTAACAGAGTAATAGACTGCTAAGTTGTTTCACAGGAGCTTTGTAAAGATTACTTAAATGATTGTTCCTAGTACTCAACATTCCTTCTTGAGTATTGTACCCCACTCAACTCGAACGCTTGCTTCTGAGTAAACATAGGATTGTGTTGAATAATATAGTATTTTGAATGCCATACAAAATAAATATAATAGATGCATGTCAATTACATTTTATTTGGCCAGGGAGAAAAGCCCAAACAATTTAATAATTTAATTTAGCATACATATGTACCCACTGATGTGCAGGAGTTTTTTTCCCCCCTTAAAGGGAAAAAAAAATAAGGCTGCCAAATTCTTTCAAAGAAGGAATGTTTTGGTAATCTTATTTCCTGAAATGAACTTCAAATCTGCTTGTGAACAGCAAACTGAAAGCTAGAGGTCATGCCTAGAAATGTCTGATGTTTTGCCAATATTGCGTTGAAGGCTGTGCCACCTGAGGAGCTCTGCATATCTGGGGTTGAGCAAGGCTAGGAGTGGTGAAAAACATCAAAGAAAATTCAGTTAACTATTACCAGGTCCTGTCCTGCAAACTAAAATGAGTAAAGCTATTAAAATTGGGATTTAGAAAGCACGGAGCAACTTTGGAATATTTCTGCGTTTAAAAAAAAGATCAGTGTGACAGTTACTCCTTGTCAGATTTTATAATTCTGTGTTATAAAACAATTCTCTTCACCTTGAATTTTTTTTTTAACTTTACAGGTGTAATTGCACACTGTATTTATTTGTTAGATTTATATCCTGCTTTTCATTCAAGAATTCAAGGTAGAAAGCATGGTGCTGTGTCCTGCTTCCCCCCCCCACAACAGCAGCAACCTTGGAAAGTAGGTGGGGCTGAGAAAGAGCAACTGGCCCACCACCCCTCAGTGAGCTTCTGTGACTGAGGGCAGACTATAACCTATGTCTCTCCACTCCTAGTTCAACACCTTAACCGCTTAACTCAAATATATAACATCTTCTTTTCAATCAAATTATTCTCAAGACATTTTACAAGTAACATGTTGCAGTAGTACAAACACTACAGTAGCTGACTGTACACTTGCTGGAACTGCTCTCCAGGTCCCAGGGAGGCTCCACAGCTGCCTGCCAGCATCCCTCTGGATCCCTGAAGTGTCTGGATAGACCATCCTAATAAGTGTCATTGTGTCCTAGCAGTACTTATTTCCCCCCCTAATGGTGCCTTCATCTCATCCCCAGCCCATAAGGGAAACAGCCTTAACCCATCCTTGCACTACGGTTAAAGGAGTATTTCCCCCCTTATTTTGATACCATCCAGGATAGGCAAGCTGGATAGAATCGGCTACACATACTTATCCATCAATTTGCAAGGAAGCCTGGTGACCAGGAACGGAGGCAATAGAGATTGGCAGAGGGTATAGCAAATGTCATGCTGTAACAGTTGCTGCCAACTCAAGGATGAGTGGAGAACACTATAACTTAGTAATAGCAAAAGGTTCCTACACAAACATTTCCTCTTGAGCAAACAGTACCTTTTCCTTATTGGCCTTTCATCTTTTCACATTAGAGAGTTTTTTGGCTGGGAAAGGTATTAAATGCCAGTATCTTTTTTTTTTTTAATTACTGAAAGTTGTTCACTTGTTTTAGAGGTTTGCTTTGAATGTGCTACATTCTGCTGTTCTTGTAGGTTTTATACGCACACACACACAGAGGTATGTATGTTTTAGCTTATGCCTCAAGGTTT